GAAGCTAACTGTTAAATTGATTTGAATCCCATTTTCGTTTAAACTTTCGCTGAAGTGACGTCAAAATGAGGCTACAGATAGATTAATAAAAAAGATACGATATACGGCAGCGTTGATATGCGGCAAGTTAAATATTGAGAAATTTTTTGTGCTTTTCAGTACGTGAAAAGCAAATATAAGGTATGATTCTAAGCTTAGCTTGAATTTTTGAGTGACTGAATAAGTAGTTTTTTGTAAAAATTATAAGTTCCTTGGATTGTTAAGTATCCATGACTGATTTACACAACGTCTCGTTTGAATTGTGGTCAATACTCTTAAAGTTTCTCTTTATAGTTGAGCTTGGAGGAACATAAACTGAAACCTGCAATATATCTTTTTAAGCATTTTGTTCATAAAGTTAAGGAATATAAAATGTAATTTTAACTTAAACAACCGTGACAATAGGCATATTTTGTCTCATTTCTCAGAGAGAAAAACCACAAATCTCTATCTAATTAAGTATAATTGATACTTTAAACTGGAAAGGTATTCTTTAAATTTTTTAATATAATTACAAGTAAATCATGACAATCAAAGTAAAGGATACTTTTGACAAATTTCAAAATATATACAGAATAATACAGTGTATGTATCAATGCACGCGTTGTAGGAACTCTCAAAATACGGTAAGCTTCTGTACTTCGCCACAGACCTAGTCCTTAATGCTTTTTATCTCTCAAATGTGCCTCGGCATTTGAAAGATTAATATACCGCTGAAGTTCTCGGAGAAGGCTTTTTCCTGTCTGTTCCATTGTCTTCTTACATCTAACGTCCAGACGATTTCTAAAAAAAAATACAATGATCTATTTACAGTATTTATATCACTAATATATGAAACCCTATGTTTTCCTTTATCTACTCAATATCATCTAATATGTACGTGATAAAGGAATAATGGAATTTTGACATTTTGTGATTTTGCTGATATCAAAATGATCCAAAGAGTATATTGTGTCTAATAGTATATCTACGAAAACAACATTCCGTTATTAGGTCTTATCAGTAACATGATTTTTTTTCATGCCCCATTTCACTATTGATATTTCTCCAAATGCCTCGAAATACATTTATGTGTAAAAATCGTGACTTAATTATTTACCGTTTGAATTTCCTATCTAGAAGAACACCATCAAGGCAACTTTTCACCAATGATGAGTAAACTTGATTTCCACAACATTTGGGATTTTGCATATTTGAGACAGAGTGAATAACACCTACAAAAATATCATATTTGCAACATTTAATTTAATATTAAGTGTTAAAAACACTAGCATACAGTTACATAATGCAGCAGATCGGAGTACATATATATGTCCAAAGATGCATGGATCAGCTCATTGTTTTGTATTTCCCGAAGCCAATGGATTATAAAAATAGAACGCAAGAAGCTGTTTCCCGCATTAAGTTAAATATATCCCGATCTTTTGTGTGATTTTGCTGTTCATAACTGTTTGTTTCACTGATACTAAACATGGATAAGAGAGAGAGAGAAAGAGAAAGATCAGTATAAACTAGTACATTAACGTATTGAAATTAAAACTACACTGCAAGATATGCTGAAACCCTGAAAAATGACACTGTTCAAAATAATTAGAACTTTTCTTCGTATAGAAAATGGAATGTACCACTATGCATCCATGATAACTAATTACTTATACATATAATTCTTTTCTCTTTCTTAAGATATTGATTTTATGTAGACAGAAAATAAAACAGAAATCACAAACAACTGTATTAAAATAAAAAGAAGAAAATAACAATTTTAATTATCGGTAATTAAGTAATCACGTCCTTTGTGAAGCATGAATACAAATTTAAGTGAATAGGAAAGAAATCAAAAATATAATGCAAAGTTAAAAGTTAAAAATGACAGAGGGAATGTTCAGCAAGGAGCATGATAACATACTATTCAACATGTAAGAGCTAATCTAAACATAGAGAATTGCTCATCATTCGTGGTACGTAAACATAATTGTAAACACTTTTATTCTTGAAAAATGTTTGCACAGCGTTTTGATACAAAGGAAAATTATCGTATCATATATCCACACGCTACGTTATTAATTATTACAAGTATATTACTGTGAAATGTTAGAGATTGTGACTGGAACTTGTCATTCTTTCACTTTAATCTAAGACTAGTTAATAAAAAGAGTCTGATTAATCTTACGAAGCGTTTTATAAAAAATTAATATAAAACAAACATTTTGTTTTATGCATATATGTATGTGTACGAGAAAAATCATATATAAAAATAAAAATATATCTTAGTACCAAATCGTGCAATTTCATATTCATTCTAATTCGGAAACTGTAATGCACAAATATATTTTTTCAAATATGGTTTATCTTACCCTGTTTTGATCCAGAATCATTTCCACAGCAAATTCGTTTATCATCTGTGCTATCATAAACTTGTTCACCACAGCAGATTTCTGTGTCTGGTTTGAAGGTCGTTTCTGCTTGTATAAACATAACAAAAATAATAAACCGTAAAACTCGCTTATACAGTCTGTAGATCTAGGATATAAATCTCGATATTTGAATGAAAGAACATTTTTTTTCTAAATCGACCGACTTTTCTGAATGTTTCTTTTGCCTTGAAATAGTTGAATGAACAAGTATATTAAAAAATATTTAATTCAGCAATTTAGCTAAAAAAAATCATGTTTGATAAAGTACAATCTAAATCTAAAAAAATTTGTTCAATAGAAGGGTGATTTGTGACTGTTTTATGATTGTCATTCTGATTTTATTATTTTGATAATATGTAACATATTGGAAATAATCAGGGCATTTTTAAAATCAATCAAATTTTTATATTTTATTACTTGACGTATCTGTACTCAGTTAATGAGTTTTCAAATACTGTTTTTATAGACTTTTTTAAAACATTAAACTACAATTTCCAATAAGTTTAGACCTTTTCAGATCAAGAATTCAGTGCTAATATTGATTGTGTTAACTGTTATATATCTATATACAGAGCAATGCCATTAAAAAAATTTAAAAACTATATTCAAGACAAAAAGAAACAAACAATAAAACAACGCAAGTTATGTTTGAATGAGTAAAATAGACAAATTTCACCGCATCGTTTTTAATTTTCCATTTTAAATTTCACTATAATGGCATTAAAGTAAAAATATTTGTATAAGTTAATAAGGATAGTTGCTGAAAGGTAGAATTTGATCAACTTAAAAGGTATGCAATGTCTTAATAATATAGAAATTTATTATTTGCATTATTTGAATCAAAAATAGGCCAATCCAGGCGTCTCTTTGTTTTGTTGTTTTAAACAACGATTTATGACTGTTTTTAAAATTCTTTTAAATACAGTCGATAATTAATCAAAACTCTTGCCTCCACAGCATTCAATTTTAAATCCTTTGCCTTTATCATGAACCCCTGAGCCTGAGCAACAAATCTGAGTGACGTTATTGAATTCTTCCTCTTTAAATTCTCCATTTAGAATATACAGGCAGGGACCCCTCTTAAGAACTGTAATATATTTTTTAAGATATAAAAAATCATAAATATCACTTCATAACAGAAAACCAGAACTACATGTACTAGGAGAATTAACTTACCATAGCCAAAGGCATCCTTTGCAACAAAGACTGGAAAAAGCAAGAAATAAAATCTACTGACATACATGTTCTGTAGTTCTTGTATAATAAAACTGTGAATGAACGAAATGGACATGTTGCCTTTTATTTAATCATATTCTAAACAATGACTAAGTGTTTGGGGGAAAAACCCTATATCTGTAAGGTTGTGATTGAAAGCACGATTTTCATTGAGCTTTTAACGTTTTAATTCTGCGCAGTACAATCTAAAATTAATTTTAGAATATACATGTTGTTGTGATTTTAATTCCAATGCTTTACAATAGGAGATAATAAATTAGGGATGTCAACGAATATTCATTCGATGAGTTGATATTCGAATATAAATGTATGATTCGAATATTAGGTTTTTAAGTATACAAGCATTTGATAAAAAAAATCAGCAGGTTTTATTTGAAATTGAATCAAGTTCGTACCCCCCACTAGGAATAAGATTTGATTTTCAAAAAAAAAAATTAAAAGACACTCCTGTTGGATTACTATAAAAGTATGAAGAGTGTAAGTTCTATTAGAATAAATTATTCTTTGATCATTTAATTAGTGGTATAACAATACCAAGTACTTACAATCTGTTTGACCTGTCGGCAGGGGATGCTCACTCCTCCATGGCACCTGATCCCACCTCTGATGTTTCGGGGGTCCGTGTTTGCTCTGCTCTAATTTTTGTATTGTTTTATGGACTTTGAGATTGAATACTGTTCGTTATCTCCGTATCCTTCTTTGTATTGTTGAAAGGACACAGTTCCTCAGAAAACACATGTATCCCTTGTTTATTTATATATCATGAAAATAATTATCAGAAAATTAAAATTAATTGATTTTACCGTATAATCCCTATTAACCGCCCCTGCCCCTATAAGCGCCCCCTTAGGTCTTTATCAATTGTCAGGAAATAAGGGCCCCCTGTACATTGATTAAAATCAACAAGAATCGTATCAAAAATTGAAGAAAGTGAAAATAAAACTTGTCTTTTATCCAATATCTCAGTGAAAAATTAATAATTTAGCATATTTCGAGTGGATTATCTTCAATTTAAGTAAAGTAAGGCATTATTTCAGTGTTTCCTCGCCCGGGGCGGTTAATAGGGATTATACGGTAATTGTTCTTCAGTAGATAATTGTTAAGTGTGGAATAAATTTGTAGGTGTAATTAGTGTAGACTTTGGAAAGACGATCAATTAATCTGGGACACACTAATGAAACTTTTGAATTTTCTAAAACAAGTTTTTATTACATTTTGGGTGTATACTATTCATATACATGACTATGTTTATTCTTTAAAATTTTAAAGATATAATTACTTTGCATTTACAAAACTGTAATTTTATTCCAATATAATGATATAAAACATATATACTGGTTGACATGAGAGTAAAAATATATATTTTATAATGTAAAATGTATTTATTTTATCGAATACTGTAGAAGTACGTTTTCTGCGTGGTATTAATTTACGCTATGTACGCGGTCATAAAATGTCCGCGGAAATTTGTCTTATCGTACTCAAAATACTTGTAAGGAATAAAGTTAGAATCTAAGAATTCCGCGTAATTCTCTTTCCGCGGATTCAAGAGAAATCGAGATTCCGCAGAATTATGAACCCTTTGAAAATAGCACGTCTACAGTTTTCGAATATATTCGAATACTCCTATCAAATATTCGAATATCAATTACTGTAGAACAGTGAAAAAAAACGGATGTAACTCCTGTAGCCCAATGTGTGTGACCAATCTCAGAAATGTTGGTGGCTCGGCATTTCAGGAAAATCTCAGGTGTGGCAGAATTTTGAGATTTGAGGCTGAGTTTTGAGCTGAGATTGTTATAGGTTGGTGGCCCCGAAGTCTAGACAAGGTATTAGAGGGGGGAGGTGTTTTTTGCACCTACCTACCGACCCAATAATTTTACCCTGAGCTGGGGGAGGGCAATCAAGCATTTTTATATGACTCTATTTTTACATATAATGCAACACAATAGCCGGGATATGACATTTAAAAACAGATTATAAGACTGATAATTCAATGAAATAATTGATGGGAAATAGTAAAACCCTTTTTTACTGTTTTTTCTCGAAATGAATTTCAACCTGAAAAAAAATTGAAAAAAATACCAGAAACCTTTTAGCCTTTTTATTTTATATTCCGTCCTTTACTATGGCATGGAAATGTTTAAATATTACAAAATAATATTTTATCTTAATTAAAGTGCAATATCAATTATGAAAAAAAATGTTTTGTTATCAGACTGAGATATAATTAAAAAAAAATCTTTATTTTCTTTTGGACAAAGCAAGGACTTTCATTATTCATGCTTTTCAAAAAAAAAAAAAAATAACTCTACCACTTTCTGAAGTAGGCGAAAATGATAACACAAAAAAAGAACATGCATCAAAAACTGTGTGCCAAGATTAAAAAAAAGGACATTGTGTGTGGGCAAGTTGTGTGGGGATAATACGTTTTCACTGGTACATATGTCTTTGGTGACTATACGCATTATATGGTGCTTATCGTAGAGAAAACTCTCCGTGCGAAACTGACCTATAAAAACATTTCGGTCTTTATATGAAATTAAAGATCTCTCGAAGCTGTATTTTGAATGACTGTACTGTTTTGCTTTGAAATTTTAAAGTAAAAACGCTTTGTAATAAAGATTGGTCAATAATGGCTCTTTTGTTTTCAAAGATCTCTAAAATTATATATAAAAAACAATAATAAAAAAAATCTGCATTCTGTCAAGTGCAGGGACTAAAAAATGAATCTGATCTATTTATGCACTTTAGAAACAATACTAATTTTTAAATGCATTTTATAATTATTTCATTGCTTTTGTGCACGCAATGAAACAAATTCTTTTCACACAAATAGCTAAATTTGATATGAAAAAAACCCAGACAGATATATTTTGAAATTGCACAAGACGTTTAAATGTTTTTACTTCACCTGATGACATTTTGATAATAAATTCTCTACTTGATATGGACCCAATGTCCTGAATAAATTCTTAACTTGCAGTAGGTATTAGACTGCCTTGAAATGACTCCTATGATTCTTTTAGCAATGAATAAAGGAGAATGGAATTCTGAAAATATGAAAATATTCACAGAACTTCTATTTCAAAGTAGCAAGTACAAGAGGGGAAGGAAAAAGTATTTAAAAAAGCGGTCAGTTTTTACCCTTTGAGAGCCATGGCTTGGTGAAAGGGTCTTATAAAAAGATTCTATTTGATATCAAGTTAAAAAGTCAAGAGGTACATATGGCTCTGATGCCTTGAAATATCTTTTTTGCACCAAGATGCATAATGTACCACAGTCATGGGGTGAAAATTTGGCATTGATTTATGTGGTGGGTAGATCACGTGGAGGGGGCACATTAGCAAGAGAAAGAGCAGTCAGGCAGCATAACATGGTTAAATAGTTTTTTTGTCGACCAATGCAATTTCAAGATTTTTATCAAAGGCAAGATAATTAATGTTACGGTAATAAGGAAGTTATTTGTGAGGATCTTTGAATTACAGTAATTAGATAGTTAGTTGTGAGGGTATTTAGATTACAGTAATTAGATAGTTAGTTGTGAGGGTATTTAGATTACTAATTAGGAAATTAGTTGTCAGAGTATTTAGATTACGGTAATTAGGAAGTTAGTTGCGAGGGGCTTTACATTACAGTAATTAGGAATTTAGTTGTGAGGGTCTTCAAATTACGGTAATTAGATAGTTAGTTGTGAGAGTCTTTAAATTACAGTAATTAGATGGTTAGTTGTTTGGGTCTTTAAATAACGGCAATTAGGAAGTTTTAAATTACGGT